AATCAGCTTAAAGGTTACGAGAGCATGCATCCTGTCTCAATGCCTAGCTATTGCATCACGCAGTGTTCACGAGCGTGGAAACGCGTATTTGGCCAATAAGGGCTAAGGCAAGGTTCCCACAGACACTCCCACCCTACTTCCTCCCGGCGCCATCTTAGGCTGCCACATTAATATGCCCTTGTGGGCCCATAATGGCGCCACTTGTAATGTCACTTAAGGTGGCATTAGTTTTAAAGGCCCAACAATGTAACACTGAATATAATAATTCTCCTGATTCCAGGATCAAATATTGCACACAGGTACTGACATTCAACACTGTACCCCACAGACATGTACAATCAATTATGTTCCAATTAAAAAAAAAGTAAATGGGAAAATGTCGCTTTTCTGCCAATTTTCCAAGGGCTTGCTGTCATGCTTCAAACATGCCAAACTGGTTCCTACCTCAAGATTTTTATACTTTCTCTTTCCTTTGCCTGGAGTATCCTTTCCCAGGTCTTTACATGGCTTGCTTCCTCACTCATTCAGGTTTCTCCTCAACTATCATCCCTGATCATCCTTTCTAACATACTGCCCCAGTCTTCCATATCTGAATTCCTGCTTCATTTTTCTTCACAGCACTTAGTAATTTATTCTCTGGATTAGGTAATACAACCTTCTTCAGAAAAGTTTAATATAAAGGTCCCAGATCATTCTAGAAGTTTTCAGATTATTCTAGGGGACATATTCTTGTCTCATAGAGAGATAACATACCCCAACCTATAGATCAAAATCTATAGATCAAAATCTATAGATCCTCAAACATAACATTATATAACATAATATTGGTCAACAATATTTTTTGAGTGAATGGGAACACAAGGATGGGTTAATAGGAATATGGGAAAAAAGTCTGTTTAAAAACAGAATTAAAAAATAAATCTTTCCGTTGACTTTTTGAAGTACACTTGCATAACTAGTCAATTTCTTCCAAGTTTATTCCTGTGTATATTACCTCTCTGGTTAGCATTTAATGGGGAGAGGGGCAGTGTCTTCCATTTTATCTTCTAAAAGTTTGCTATTTGTACATTAGAAAACTCGAGCAAAAAATTCTGTAAAAAGGCACTGCAAATGACACAGAAAGTCCAAAAAGATTTGTTAGGGAAAATAAGTGAGTCCAGCCTAGCTGGGTGTATGCAATCCCACAAACTCTCAGCATCCCAGGGCAGGGTGTGAATAAGGGCTGGGCGTCGCTGGCAGTATTGAAGATTGTGCTCCAGGAAAGGAACCCTAGTATCCAGATTCTTCTCATATAATAAAAGAACTGAGAGGAGAACAGATTCATCCAACCCATTTTGAAGACTCAGCTTTGCTATCTATCAGAGTTGCCACTGTGACAGCAAAAATAGTATCCTGTTCTCACCCAAGAACAGTATCAATTTAAGTATCAATTAACTAGGAAGTTTATATATCAACACTGCTTTCAGCAAGAGGCCATAACTATGCAATTTGAGAAAAAACAATCCCTGGAGTCAGCCAGAACAAGAACTGGTTTCTCTCTCCTTAAAAAAAAAAAAATACTGATTTAGGTATTTTAATTTTCAACTCAGCCAAAATAACCATATATTCTTAATTTATAGTAGTTTTTAACAGGTTTTTTTTGGTTTTCCTGGTATGTAGACACGTCAATTGCAAATAATGATAATTTTATCTCCTATCTATTTTTTTTTCTTTTTAAAATTTTTATTGAACCAAAATTGACTATACATATTTTGGGGGTTCAACATTGAGATATGCTGATCAAATCAATATTACTAGCATATATATTGTTACAAATCGTAATTATTCTTTATGCCCCTTGACCAATCCCTCCCCATCCCCCTTTTCCTCCCCCCTCCACTTTCTAATCACCCTAGATTTCTTCTCTCCCTCTGAAAGAATAATGGTTACTCTGTTGATTTGCTGCCCAAATGATCTATCCAATGCTGAGAGGCGTGATCAGGTCCCCCAATACTGTCACAGAGCAGATATCTCTTCCATCACTATGAAATGGGCTCTGTGGAGACAGACATCCTCCTCCTTTCTTTATCTCTGCTGGTGACTCTCCTTGTGTCAACACACTCCAGTGGCTGGTGGACCATCTGCGTGGTGGTTGTGGCATCTAGCCGCCTTTGTGACAGCCATGGTTATCGTGGTGGCTGTGGTGGGCCACCCAGATGGAAGAGATGTTTTTGGCCTACTCCATGGTGCTGGCAGTGTGCCTGGTTGTGGAGAGTGTCCAATCCCCAATTGTACCTGGGGTACCTGGTTGTGGGAGAGAGGTCTGGTCCCCTTCTCCATGCCTTGGGTCCACAAGCAGGCTCCAAGGCACTGGTGCGGTGTGCCTGGTGGTAGGAGGAGGATCCAGTCCCCTTCTCCATGCCCCAGTCCCAGGGTGGGCTCAGAGGCACTGGCGTAGTGTGCCTGGTTGTGGGAGGGGGGTCTGCTCCCCTTCTCCAGACCCCGGATCCCTGGGTGGGCCCTGAGATGCTGGCAAGGTGTGCCTGGTTGTGGGAGGGAGGTCCGGTCCCCTTCTCCATGCCCTGGGTCCCCACCTATCGAATTTTTACACCTGTTATTTCTTGGACTTATCTGAGAGCTTGTTATTCCTCCATGCTAAGAATCACTAATAAAATATTATTTAATAGTTATGGCAATAGATATCCTTGTCTTGATTTTACCTGGAAAGCATCTACTGTTTCTCCACTAAGCACAATGCTACCTTCTGAGCTGAGATAAACATGTTATATTAATAATCCATCGATTTATATTTTAAGCTTTTTTAAAAAAAGACAGATATTGAATTTCATCAGGTGCCTTTCTGGCCATATGAAGATGCTCCTAGCTTGTTTAAGAACACAAAGTCAAATACCTAAGGAAACAACTAAGTTGAAAGAGGACTCTGGATCTTGTGAATCTGGGGTGAGAAGGGATGGAGTTAAATAATAAGCCTTTAGATCTACTTGGCTCTTTTAAACTACCCAGACTATAAAACTGTCCAAAATCTGTAAACTTTTTATAAAAGGGTACTTCAAAAAGTTCATGAAAAAACAGAATTAAAATACAAATCTTTCCATGAACTTTTTGGAGTACCCTTGTGTGTCCTCAGTAAGGTTAAGAACAAAAATTAAGAGTGAAATTTAGAAAACTTTTTAGCAATTTAATAAAATAATTTTATGTCTATTTATTTTTCTAGTAATCTATTTATATTTCACAAAAGTATTGGCTCATGACATATTTAAAAAAACACTGATCCTTCTCCATAAGTACTTTGACAAGCATTGTTATAATCCATCCTATGATATATAATAAACTGAATGAGAGTATAATCTATCATTTAAAAAAGAGAAAGTGAGAATTCCTGGAAAAAAAAAAACCCGCCATA